AAAAAACCAACCAACCAAAAACAGTTAGGAAGTTAAAGCAACAGGAAGGAATGTGTCATACAATGTGGGGACAGAGGGAGTCCCCCACCCCTACAGAGGGACTTGTAGCAAGGGATCTACATATGCTACTATACTTGTGGTATTTCATAACCTTATTATGTATAGATTAGGCAACCATATCATACTGATCTAGTATGGTCTGAGAAAGTCTGTAATCCCTATTCCATCCATACAAAGAACTGGAGAGAATCATGAAGTTGGCATGTACTTCTTAGAAAGGCAGGCACTGCTGGCCTGAGCAGCCCTGAAAGTCTTATGTGAAATAAATCTGTTCGATCGAGGTACACCCCAAATAACCAACTCTCTCTCCTTCCCAGCTAAAGCAGCTCCGTCCACAATGCTTCACTCACTACAGGTATGATCCTTGAGAGGTAACAAAATACAAGGCACAACATAAAACTGTTTCTAGAATCATGCTGAAGTTTTGCTGTAATACTTGAAATTACTTGATAACCACTGTTAGTCTCTGCATTAACTCATTCTGTAGACATTGCACTAATAGAAAATCAAGAAAGATATCCCTGAACAGCATCAACATATCAATATGTCACTTTTCTTGGGAGTTGGTACTCCTATGATTTATTCCTACATTTTTTCATAGTGCTTTAGACTACTGCAGCTTTCAGGAAATTATCTGTGGCTGAGTTTACACTGTACATAACATTCATCTCAGCACATTCTAGATAATCTTTGAAACAATAAAAAATAGAATTCTAATTCTGCAGAGATCACAGTTGTGTTGTTTGTGGGGTTTTTTTTGTTTTGTTTTTTTTGGTCAAAGTGCCTTCAGAGCTGTATTAAGATCATTCATTTTAACCACGCAAATTTTCATTCAAAAATATCTCTAACATAAGCAGAAACCAGTACAGTTCCATATGATATTATCTGAAAGCAGTATCGAGAATGTGACTTCTAGCATATTTTACCACCTTTAGAACCCAGCATTTCTAAATCCTACACTCTGTATCATTATAAATATGATAAATAACCTGTTTTTTTTGCTCAGCTGGGACAGTATTTTTGTCATCCATTAGCATATGAGCGGCAGAAACTTGGGGGATCCTCTCGCTGATTCAAGCTTGAGGCAGGGAATGAATGAACTGCGATAGGAGAGCACCCCCTCGTGATGGAAGGCTTAAACACAGCATTGCACATCTCAGAGCACTCGGGCTAGTAAAATGCTGGAGTATTTCTATTCTACTGTGGTCACAAAAAGAGACTGATAAAAAAACTAAAACTGAAATCAAAAATATGTCATTTGATATTCAGTCTCTGCCCTGAAGATAGCAGAGGACACACTCAAGCTCATCCATAACAAAATGCAGGCATGAAATTCTGCAGTCAGTGAATGTTTCTTCAAGGCAGTCACTCAATTTTCTTAAGAAAAAAAAATTAAAATAACCACTTAACATCTTATGGCATGTTCCTTGTTTTTGAGGTTTGGCAGGTGTGCTATAGCAGCAAATGTGTAAGATCCACATTTCACTATACGGTATATTCTAAGAATGACTTTAGTAACAGCTGAATTCTGAAGCATCTTAGAAGCTCATGTAGTTCCTGTCACCCCATGTCTTTTAACATAACAATAAAAGGAAAAATACTGTTTATTTGTTTTAATGAAATATTTCATTAAAGAACATTTTTTCGAGAAAGGTGTAGCTAAGGCTATGAGAGAGTCAAAACTGTTTAAGTCATGTGAAAAAAGGTAAGAGCTTAGAGGACCCTAACCCTAATTCAAAGACCTGAGAAGCTGCAAATTTATGTTAAAGGAAAACAATTGACAGAATTATGTCTTGGTTACACTCTTATTAAAGCAATATTGCCAATAATGTGTAGCTATAAGTAGCAAAAGTGAGGCACAAATGAATCACAAAAAGCCCTTTAAACATATAAGTGCTCATTAATGTGTCCATCAATAAGCACCAGTAGAACCCCCCTTTTTAAGGAATTATGTATTTCTGGCTGAGGACAAACTTGATTAGATGTTTCTGACTTCAGACAAAGAGCCTTACAAATATTTTTGGATAAAACAAAAAATATTTATACTTAAATTTCACTTGGTGTAAGTATCAAGACAGACAAACAGTTCTACACAACAGGAAGTCCAGCCACAAACCAACATCAAACCCACACACAGGAATGTCACCACTCTGAAAATGTTCTTGTGTCGTTGTGGCTTCAGGATCCCAAAAGGTTTATCAATAAAACTGATGAGACTTGTCCAAATTCAGGCATGCTAAAAAAATTATCAAGATCTGCTGCCAATTAAAAAAAAAAAAAAAAGTCAAACCTTCTACCAGTTAGGTATACAGCAAATAGAAAGGTGTTTACTGGAATTTCTGTAACTCTTCCTTCTCAGGTTGCATTCAGACAACTCAGTTATAAAAATTAGGTCATTAATACTGTACAGTTTTTTTTGAGACCCCTCCAACAATCTGAGTCTTTACAGTAACACAGAATCAATTCCTGAAAGCATACAATTAAGCGTTACCAAAAAAATCTGCTTCTACCTTACAGCCTCACTAAAGTTAGACAGTTAAGGTTGCAACATAACACCAAACTGAGAGATGAGACACAAGTACAAAGAAAATATCTACAATGCAAGAAATATGTTCCAAACATTTTTATTTAAAGCATGTGAAGGGTTTACTTACAATTCTTCTCCTTGTTTTGCTTTTCTGTCATTAACCAAATACACACTTCCAAAGCTTCCATTGCCAAGTTTCCTCTGAATAGTGTATCTTCTTGCAATCACAGCATCTGAGCAAGCAGAATTAAATCTGGCAACAGTGACATGCTTAGCAGTTTCTTGAAATTTCAGCATTTCTCTGTGCAACAAAAACTACACAAATTTCTCAAGGATGTAGCTTTCAAATCCTTTTATTCTTCCATGGATGTTCACAGAAATCACTTGAAACAGAAAAATATTGATTTGTCAATGTATTATTCTTATTAAACTTCTCATTTAATTCTGTGGTACCCAGCTTGCAGCAAACATAAATTAAGTGGAATCATTAGCTGCTAAACTACAGGCAGCAGACTTGATAAACAAACTCCAGATAATGTAGATGTGACATAGTCAGTCTTCCTCTAAGTGAACCTTAAATTAATTCACTGAACTGATAGCACAATTCCCCTGGATATGGCACTCTTTCCTCACCACCTGTCTTTATACCACTGCAGTACCTGACACCAAAAATATCTGCATTTCAGGATGCTAATTTCAATATTTTTGTACATATTGAAGCATAACCTCCACTCTTAATTTGAGTTCTCTCCCATCTCTGTTTTCTCTGCTCTTATATTTACCCCTCAGATTTCACCATCTGTTCCTGTGCTGACCTCGCAGCTTCACCATGACTCACTACTAGTATCTTCTGCAAATTAGTTTCACAGAAAATCTGCAAGACTTCCAATAAAACCCAACTCTGCCCAAAATTCATTTCTCCTTCACAGTGCCCTTTCATTACTCCTCTTTCCAACCTTTCCCAACAAGTTAGCTTTGGTCGGGAATTCTTGTCTAACTGAGGTCCTAATTCTGCAAACATAAGGACTGCAAAGGCCAAGCTCTGGCATTCCTATGGTCTTCAACAGTTCAACAGGAGTTTAGAGTAACTTCGTTTACCCAGCTTTCCTCATTCCAAACGAAAAAGGGGAAGTGTTTCACTGCACATAACAATATTGTTTTCATTACTTGGTCTTTATATAATGCTATGTGTATCATTTTGCTGGAAGATCCTGTGGAGCAAGGAAAGGTCTTGCAAGATCAGTGCTGCTATTGTTACCATCCACCAGCACTGCAGAGCAGCAGGCCCACACTGGCCTTGTTCACCACATCATTTCAAGGCCAAGGGAAGTGCATAAAGAGGATTTCATTGTCGTGGTGGTGGGTTTGGAAGACCAAAGTCAAACTGCCTAATTTTAAAAGCTGTACAACTTTAGGATACAAGTCACTGACTTCTCTGCCGAATGAATGCAGAGCCTAAATTAAGATTGCAGATTTGTATCTTGCAACAACAAACTGTGTGTGTGTTTGTGTGTGTGTGTAGGCACAAGAACCTATTGTCATACCCATCTGCTGAGGTGCTGTCACACTACACCAAAAAGCCTGACATTGCACTGTCACCATGTTATGAAACACAGATAAACTTTAATTACCACAAGACATCTTAATAATACAAATCCTGCATGTTTTTAAAACTACAGTAGTCCTAATACTGTTTCTTTATTCTCTTTCAGCAACACTGACAAAAATTTTGAAATGTCAATGCTAAGGAAAGAATGTCAGCTAGAAAATCATTTCTCTGTAACTCCAAATCTGTCTGAAGAAGCCCAAATGGATCATATTGAGGTGTAGAGGAGGGGAGGGCAGAAAGATGAACTCCATAAAATATTATACTGCCAATTCTAGAAAGTTTATGCAGTTTTCATTTACCATTCTCTTCTCCTGACTGGTGTGCTATGCATGCCTTCTTAAATTCCTTTAGAAATAATTGCACTTAGAAAAACTGCTGAGCTAGCTATACTAATTTTTTGTCTTTCTGAAGTCACTCGGCTCACCTTCAAATTTTCATACTTACTTGAGCCTAGAAATGTATGACAATCTTTACACCACAAAACCATGCTTAAGATCAAGTAGTTCACTGAGTTTAACTTCTGTGCTTTATTTCTAATAATGCCTCCCACCTTTTACTCTCTATGCTTCAAGTTCCCTCCCTATACAATAATAGTAATAATTATCATGTAACTTTGTGAAATGATTTAGTGTCTGCTGCTGAAGAGTGTTATAAGGAAGGGCCAGCAATTGCCATTGTGGCACCACAGGTGCATTTTAATGCCACAGAAGAGGTGGACTGCTGAGCGCTGCATCTGAAAGAAATGCCTTTGAGGAGCCAACAGACCCTAAAGATTGACTCAGCCATAAGACTGATGGATCCTTCAAGAAGTACATGAACCACAGCCTCTCCTACCCCGCTCAAACCACAGAGCCAGGAGCCTGCTGATGCCAACAAAACTAATGCAATTACATTGTCTGGATCACTATTTTTTAATATTTTCTTTCCCTGGCCAGAGTTAAATCTTCCTTTTCATGCAGCAAACTAAAGGAAAGTTGGTGGTTAGGGTTTCATAGCTCCACCTACACATGCTGAGTGCAAACCATCTCAACTTCTTCCCTGACCTTTCTTAGTTTCTGTAAGAAAGATTAACCTTCAGGTTTCTTTAGCAACAGCTAAGATACTCTGACATTTTCTGCTTCCAAGATAATCCCTTCTTTGCCAATCGAGGCCATTTTCCAATTTTATCAGGTTTTCTTTTTATTCCTTAAGAACCATTGTGTTACATTAACATTTGCCACCCTCACCCCCTGTAGCACAAATTCTAAAGTCTTTAGCTCTAAATATCTTCAGTATTTACCACCTTAAATTTTTTTTGCTGCTGATGACCTCACCAGCCTGCTCCTTTAAATGTTCTGAAAATTATTTAAAAAAAAAAAAAAAAAAAAAAAAAAGTGATTTTTCTTGTTTTTTCCTTCATGGAAAAAAAAATATATATATATAAAAATTTGACTTTTTAACACTGGCTCCATTCTTCTTTTTTGCAACATCTTTATAAATACTTACCCAAGGCTAACGTGACATCACCTCACTCAGTTTTTTACTTTTCCTAGAGAAATGATAACTAAATTTTATTATTAGTGCTGGTAGCAATGACTTTGAGGATGATGGTAAAAGGGGGTCAAATGTACTCGACTTTCAAATTTAGCATCTCCCTGGCGCACATTCGGGAAGCCGAGATCCTCTAGCACAACCTCAGGGATGCTATTACCTTGTTTCAGTACTGTGTAAGGCTCAAAACACCAGCTAGCACCCACATTCCCACACAGCACGGGGCGAGGGCCGCATCCCCGTTCCTCACCCCTCCGGGACAGGCGGCACTCCCCGGGAGCCGGCGGTGCCCCACGTCCCCGCCGCTCCAGCGCCCGTCCCGACGGCGGAGCTGCGGTGCCTGGGGTGCCCCGTGTTCCCTGGGGCAGGCCTGGCGCTGGCAGAGCGGGAGCGGCCGGGGCTCCCGGCGCTCCCGGCCCGGCCCGCGCCGCTCGCGGCCCCGTTGCCAGGAGACGGCGCGCGCGCCCGAGCTGCGGCGGGCGGGAGGAGCGGGAGGAAGCGGATCCGGGATGGGAGGGCCGCGCGTGTCACTGCCGGCAGCGCTTCCGGCGCCATGGGCGTCCAGGGGCTCACGAGCTTCGTGGAGGAGCGCGGGGTGTTCTTCACCGAGCTGCGGGTGCGCGACACCAAGCTGGTCATCGACGGCAGCAGCCTCTACCACCACCTCTGCTTCGCCCCCGACGCCGACTTCCGACGCGGCGGCGACTACGGCGCCTTCGCCGCGGCCGTGAGCGACTTCTTCGGCGCCCTGCGGGCCTGCGGCGTCGCGCCCTTCGTGGTGCTGGACGGCGGGCGCGGCGCCGAGGACAGGAAGCTGCCCACGCTGCGGCGCCGCGCCGCCGACCAGCTGCGGGCGGCCCACGGGCTGTCCCGGCGCCGGCGGCTGCCTGGCGCCGCTGCTGACCCGCGAGGCCTTCGTGCAGGCGCTGCGCCGGCTCGGCGTGCCCTTCGTGCAGTGCTTCGCCGAGGCCGACCGGGAGATCGCCGGGCTGGCCAACCGCTGGGGCTGCCCCGTGCTCTCCCTCGACAGCGACTTCTTCGTGTTCGACCTGGCGGGCGGCTACTGCCCGCTGACCCACTTCCAGTGGCAGAGCGTGCGCGGCAGCGCCGCCGCCCCGCAGGGGTGCTACGTGCTCGCCCGCTGCTTCTCCGCAGAGAGGTTCTGCGGGCACTTCGGGCGCCTGAACAAGGCGCTGCTCCCGCTCTTCGCCGTCATGCACGGGAACGACTTTGTGGGCTTGGAAGCGCTGGAGGCGTTCTTCTGCCAGGTGCGCCTGCCGAGGGGCTGCGCGGCGGGGCGGGGCGGCAAGCACCTCCGCCTCCAGGGGCTGCTGAACTGGCTGGCGCAGTTTGCCGGGCCCGCCGAGGCCCTCGACGACGTGCTGAAATACTTAAGGAAGCACCAGAGGGAAGAAATACGGGAGCTTCTGTGCGCTTCAATGGAGGACTATGCTCCGCCTGACGTGAATCTTGAGAACTTCTTTCAGAACGGGAGCTATGAGTGCGAGGCTGCCAGGAAAGCAGACGTACCACAGTGGGTACTTGATGCTTTGGCGAAAGGTAAGCTGGCCCCATTCGTCCTCAATGCCCTGATACTTAGAAGTACCTTCCTCCGCGTTCAGGTGGAGAACATGCAGAGACCCAGTGCTCATAGCACAGCTCTTCCCATCCGACAAGTTATCTATGGACTGCTTCTGAGAGTATCTCACAGTACTGAAGATGCTTCTCCAAGTAAGCAGACCAACGAGCTGCCCATTGTATGTGAATTTGACAGATGCCAAAAGACACTTAAAAAAACATTTGTTCAAGCAGCAAGCCTACCCCCAGATTTTTGTGATGATCGTTTTCCTTTGGACAAGTTAATTGAGGTAAATGGTTGTCACAACAGATCATAGTTAACAGTGTTTCACGAGTGACGCAAAAATAGTTGGGACTCACGTTTGCGGTCTGGCCACTAAATGTGATGTCTGAACCAAGCCACCTCAGTTAGTAACTGTTTAACACAGAAGTATCTGTGATATTTAAGAAGCTACATCAGGTTGTCTTCATCTCCTTAACTTCCTGCCCCCTCCAAGTGTACCAAGACAAATTATATGAGAAGTTGCAGTGTGTGTGTGTATATACAATACTCCCTGCATTTTCCATTGGAAGCCCTTATTTCATCCTATGTATTTTGTTACACTAATACTTGCTTTTTTTTTCTTTTTTTTTGGGAAGGAATTCAGTTTCGTGTAGTTTAGAAAAGTCCGATTTTAACACTATGAAACCTAATTGGTATTTGATCAAGCTGTATAATGTTTCAGAGCAGTGTTCTGAAACAAAATCTGACCCATGTCTTTACTAGAAGTCATTATTGCAAGTGTGAATGTTGCAGCTGCCCAGCAGTTTTATCTGTCCCGAGTATGCTCCTGCTAACATGGCTCTGATGCTTGCCAGACAGAGCAGAACAGCACCTGAAAAACACCTGAAAACCGCAGGAAAGTTATACTAGATTAGTTCCAGTCACCATTGTAGTACTTCTATGTAAATTCTAATGATTAAGAGTGTAACTCTTGCCATAAGGGGAAGTAATCTCCCATTCTCGAAGTTGCATAACTGAGATTTTGTATACAGAAATTTAAGGCACATAGCTCTGTCCATTCTGGTGTTCAGATTGACTGTTGACACATCTCTGTGCATGGGCAGTGCTGAATGTTTGTATCACTTGCTGGTGGCTCCTTTGTAAAGGAACCAAGTCTGTCACTGCTACACCCATTAAATGCTACAGATAGCTGTGGGTCCAAAGTGCAGGTTACTTTACACACGTTATTGGCACACTCATTTTAAACAATACGCAGCATTTAAGAGCTTGAAAAATCAAGTTTCATGTTAAGAGACATTAATGACACCTTACTTCAACCTTGGTGTGTGTGCTGTTTGTTTAATGAATTTGAGCTTTGCTACTACAACAACTTTCCTTGGTGAATATATGGGAATTATCAATTGAACAAAAGGTTAGAAGAAGAAATGTTCAGCATTTGAAATGCTCCAGGCAAAACTGACTTCAGATGCTCTTCTGCTGTGGGAATGTCTGCCTAAGAGTAGGCAGAACAATCCTAATCAAGGTTTACAAAGCACTCAGATGGCAGCTGAACAGCTTGCTCCAATTCTGCATGCATGAAGTTATGGACAAAGCTGGTAACACCATTTTCTGGGAGTTAAATGGCTCAGCAAAAAGGGAACATGTGGTAGGAATTAATTACTTACCAGTTACTTTTATCTTTCTACCTGATGTTTAACTGTGTCATTTTTAAAGTCTTAAGTAGTATGTAAAAAAATATTTTCTGTTCAGAATACCTATGAAACTTCAATAATTTTTTATCAAAAACCTACAGGGGTAACTAATTTAACCAGGAACTTACTGGTCTTTTAGAAATTGCTCACAACAGATCAAGTCTCTTACCTCCAATTTTTAAATTTATTTTCAGGTGCCTGTTTCATGCCGTCAGATGCTTTTGCTGGAGACTCTGGGAGTGAAAATGAGTTTCCTAGAACCTATTCCAAGTCATTTACAGCTCCCTGTTGCTGTAACATGTTACTGGATATGTTGTTCAGAACCCAAAGTTAAGCTGAACCAATTAAAGGCTCTGCTTCTAATGATAGTTTCTGGAGAACTGCAGAGGATAACTGATGACCCAGGTATGTCTCCAAAGAATACAGTTTCAGGTGTTCAGTTGCTACAAAAATACAGACCATGATTCATTTTTCCACACTTAAAGGGAGTTGTCCAAATTTAGGGATTAGCCTTGATTTACACTATATCCTGAGGTGTCACACTCTATGCATTGATATGCGCAAAGAAAAAGTGCTAACCATCAATTTAACATTTTATATAGGTAAAACAGTACTTTACCACATTGCAGAACATTAATTTGCATTCATAAGTACTTTCTTTAGGATCAAAATATTAATTCAGATATAAAAGTCACAAAAAATATGCTTAATGTACTCAGCATTAAAAAACTGCTGTTGAAGCATTCCAATATTTTTTTTGCTTGTGAGTCTTTCTAAAAACATTTGTACTTAAAAATGCTGAGTTGCCCAGGCACACTTTTTCTGCCTATGCATTGCAAATTTGAAAGTATTAAATAATCACAGAAATTGCTACAGTAATATTTATACCTGTTAGGTCTATGGGACTTTCCTCCACGAGTCCTTCATTTGATGGCAAAGACAATGCATGCCAGTTATACAGTTTCTTTAGGTTCTGGTTTGTAGAAACCAGACTGACAGGGTTTCCACCTAGACTGTAGTGAGGTGGAAAGCTTGTTTGGATTTAATCACACAGAATCAGTTAGATTGGAAGAGATCTCTGAGATCACGGAGTCCAACCCATGCCTGAGCAAAAACCACCCTGTCAAACAGACCATGGCAGTGAGTGCCGCATCCAGTCTTTCCTTAAACACTTCCAGGGACAATGACTCTACCACCTCCTTGGGCAGCCCATTCCAGTGTCCAATCACCCTTTCTGTGAAGAAATTCCTCCTAATGTCCAAGCTAAACCTCCCCTGGTGCAACTTAAAGCCATTTCTCCTTGTCCTATCAATTGTTACCTGGGAGAAGAGACCACCCCCCCAGGCTACACTCTTCCTTTCAGGCAGAACTAGGGAGAAGACATATTGCAGATATCTTTTGTACTGTTCACAGCAGAACATTTATTTCCAAGTTATTTTTTATTTATAACCTAAATCCCACAGTTCTACCTGCTGAAGATGACAGCGTTGCATATAACGAATTTCTAAAATGGAAGGAAAAGAAATTGCAGAATAACGACTTTGATTTAGATGCTGCACACAGTTTTTGCCAGTGGCAGTGCTGTCTTCAGATGGGATTGTATCTCAACCAGCTACTTGGTACTCCTCTCTCTGAGCCAGACCTAAGTAGGTAAGGTTGTTCCAGAGATCTGCTTTCCACACAAGCCCATGATGGAATGAATGTATTAACACGTTTCATTTTCTCTGTCAAACTCCTTTGGCCAGTACTTGCAGCAAAACTCCCTTCTTTAAAGGAGTTACTAAAAAAAAGCACTTTTTATTAAGAAAACTACACTTAGCATAGGAGTTGAATGTTGGATACTGTATGTTTTTGTCATCAAGCAACATGTTTCTGTACCTGTCCTATTGAGGTGCAATTCTAAATGCAGATTCTCTCCTTCTTTTGAGCAGGCTTTACACTGGGACCCTTGTGCACAGACTGTATCAAGAGCTTAAATCAGCACCTTCAGTGGAAAATCTGTTTCTCTTATCTCCAAAAATGGATCAGCTTTATCTGGTTTTGTTAAATACAGTGGAGTCAGTGGTCTCTCCAGACTTCTTTCAGAAGATGACCAAGACCAGATCCGAGTCCTACGAAAAGAGGAAAGCATCTAGTAAGAAAAAAACAGCCACCCGATGTGCTGTGCCAGAAACTCAACATTTATGCAATGTTAATAGGTTTGCAGCACTGAAAGTGGATGACTGAAAGCACTGTTCTTGGAATAACTTCTAATGCCATGCTGATGAAAGAAGTAACATTAAAATATGTGACTGTATTGGAATTTGCTCAACTGTTTTCATACAAGTTCCTGATTCAATCTTTACCAAAAACCTTGCTTCAGGGTATTTTTATTTACCTTTTTGTAACTTACATTTTGTAACTTTACATTTTGTAACTTACATTTGTATAAAAGAAATGCTGTCTAAAAATTTTGGTGTTTTGTTTTTCTTTAAGGGTATCAGTCCAGTTGAAAATGAGAGCAAAGTTGTTCAGCATTTCAAAGCAGGACTATTATAGAGGAATTCTTTTCCTGAACATTTATAGTTGGCTCTGCCTCATCTCCCTGAACACTTCATTTACAAAAAAATCCAACTTTCAAGTTTGTGTTTGAGGAACACAGTGGTCACAGTCTAGAAGCTGAGATTAAAATAGAAACTGGCAGGTTTAAAAATACTGTAAAATCCGTCATTACTGGTGGAGTACTTTTACTTGCAGGGAGAGGTAGCTTTGTTCAGTGACAACTGAGTAGGTTGTGCTTGCAGTATTACAGGTTCTGTCAATACTCAGGGAGAAACTTCAGTTCTTATTTCTCCCCCTTCCCCCTGTGATGTGTTAAAGAAAGAGTTACATGCACACACAAAGCTGTCACATGGAAGCAAGTTTCTACAGGTTTGCTAATTCTCAGAAGTTGTCACAGTAATTGTGTACAATCCTCTGCTATTAAAGCTGTTGTCACTCTGATTCTTTATACAATGGCTATATTAAAAACCAGACCTGTTCTGACTTACCCTAGGTACACTAATTACTTGATAAACCCTTGCTATCTACACAGTAATACTGAAAAACAATATTTTTTAAAATCCTACATCAGATATTCCTTAGTGCTTTGCATTAGCAAACTTTCCAGTATAATTAGTCAATTTATGTAAATACTTTTCTTATTAAACTATTGGTTTTCCCTATGTAAAACATAGTTAGATTTGTGGTTTTTCTTCTTAAGAATCCACATCTTTTCTTGTATTTAGGAAAATCATGACTTCAACCTCTAATCATCAAAGTTTTGCCCATAACTTAGCAGAATTCAAGCTTGATTCCTGCATTGTGTGCTCAAGTTTTCAGTCCTGCTTATGCTCCCTGTTACCTCTGTTCCCATGGAAATAACTCACCATATCTTATTATTTAGAGGAAAGATCTCCTGTATCATACACCTGAGTGTCCAAATATAGTCAATGAGAAAAGAATAGATCTATGAGATGTTACATTAGAGAGAAAACTATGTTTGAGATACAGCCTGTCCTAGCGAGATGCAACTTTTTTTTCCAGTACAAAAGCTGCTACTTCCTGAACTACCAGCAGATGTCACGTACAACCAACCACACAAGCCAGACCCTCACAACCCATTTCTGTATAGGTTTCTGAGTACAGCATCACATTTCCATCAGATGACTTTTATTTAAAAGTTGAAAGGGGTTACAGTTACTGATTTTACTAACTAAAACTGAAATTCTTAATTGTCCAAATCATCCTCATCTCCATTATGAGCCCATATGTTTTATTTTACCAAACTTGTAATTTCCTAGAGTTTTTAATCATCAGAAATAGTCACATGCAAAATAAGTCTTAAATATAAAAATACAGGTGTATTTGATTCCACTTTGCTGATGAGAAGAGAGATCTTCATTTACTCTGAATCCCACATCAGAAAACTGCTGAAGATGGTAAAAATTCTTGAGACTTGATAAGTCATATTTTGTTGTATTGTGTTTGTTATGTTATATGCTGATTTGGTTTGTTCCTTGTACCCCTTTAAGTTGTAATGGTTCTGCCCTGGCTCTCTCTCTCCTTGATCGCCCCGTCCATCACCTCTCTCCTCCCTGTTACCCCTAGCAACCAATGTATCCATTCCCTCAGTCCCTCTCTGGTTCCCTGTCTGTCACTCGGTGCCCCAGCCCTTCTGTCTAGAATCTTCCATCCTGGGCATTGAGTGATTGGATCAGGGGCCAGGACTCCTCCCCTGCTTTTCCCCCATTGGTTTTCCCTACATGCCTGTTATCCTCCCACCACTCCCACCTTTACTGTGATTTGCTGGAGACCACCTTGTCTCTCTGTATCCGCCCCACTTTAAAAACCCAGGTCGGAGCCCAGTTGACTGGTCTCCAGCTGGTAGCTCCCCTGGACGTTAAACCCAGACTGCACTACCTCTGGAGTCCGTCTCTTCATTTGCCTCCTGTGGGTTAGCAGCCCTCTCTCTCTCTTAGCCGCGGATCCTCGTCCCTTAAGGCAAAAGCCTTAGGCGCCCCCCTGACCGAGCCCCGGATCGGGAGAGTGCCCCCGTGCTGCCGGCGGTGCTGGCCGCAGCTAGCCGGGACACACCTAAAGGTCAGCCGCCGCTGCAGTTTGCCCAGCACCCAGTTCATTAACATCCGTCAAATCTCTCCTCCCTGTTACCCCTAGCAACTAATGTATCCATTCCCTCAGTCCCTCCCTGGTTCCCTGTCTGTCACTCGGTGCCCCAACCCTTCTGTCTAGAATCTTCCATCCTGGGCATCGAGTGATTGGATCAGGGGCTAGGACTCCACCCCTGCTCTACCCTCATTGGTTTTCCCTATGTGTCTGTTATCCTACCACCACACCCACCTTTTCTCTGATTTGCTGAAGACCACTTTGCCTCTCTGTATCCGCCCGCCCACTTTAAAAACCCAGATTGGAGCCCAGTTGGCTTGTCTTCAGCTGGTAGGTCCCCTGGGCATTAAACCCAGACTGCACTACTGCTGGAGTCCGTCTCTTCATTTGCCTCCTGTGGGTTAGCAGCCCTCTGTCTCTTAGCCGCGGATCCTCGTCCCTCAAGGCGAAAGCCTTAGGCGCTCCCCTGACCGAGCCCTGGATCGGGAGAGTGCCCCCGTGCTGCCGGCGGCGGCTGGCCGCAGCTAGCCGGGATGTACCTTAAGGTCAGCCGCCGCCGCTGCAGCTTGGCGCCCAACGTCGGGCGGGCCGAGACCACCACCGGACCCCACGGACAAGGATCCCGGAACCATTGGGCTCTACCCACTGGACTCTGGCAAGTTCCTCTCTGGCCGTCAAGCTACCTCTGGTAGAGCAGACCCCTTTTTGGTGGGTGGCGCTCCCAGAAGACCGGGATCGGCAGCTCCAAGCACCCACGGAGTCGGTCCCACCACAGGAGCCACTCGCCCCGGATTTCAGTTGACCTCCGCCGAACGTGAGTCCTTCTTCCCTTTCCCTTTTCTCTTTGCCCTGCCTTTTTAACTTTTCGGACCGCCTCACTCGGTCCTTTTTCTTACTGCGCAGGCCTTTGCCGGCATAGTCCGGCGGCAGGGCTCGGTGGGGGGTCCCCCTTTTCACTTTTATTTTCTCCTTCTCTCTGGGCAGCGGGTGGATTGAGTTGCCATCTTTCCAAAAATCTCTAAATATGGGTGCACGTTTCTCGGCAACTCAGAAGAGACTTTATCTCCAGGTTGCGGGCATCCTTGTTAGTGGGGGGGTTGAAAAGTTTAAGAAACGTGAAATTCAAAAACTTACGGCATGGCTGCTTTCCCAGTTCCCTGAAGTATCCCCTGACCAAATTAATGATTATCGGTTTTGGACCCAGGTTTGCTCAAAATTAGACGAATTAGGCCGATCAGGGGATTCTTCACTTTCAAAAATAACATTTTGGAGTGTGCAAATTCAAAAAATTTTAAAATCACGTGTGGAACTGAGGAGGCAGCCATCCCAAGCCAGTTTGAACCCCAGTTTGCCCTGTTCTTCCCATACTACCCCTTCTCCCTCTCCTGCTCTCCCGAAAACTGGGATTTTGAGGGGGGCAGACCGCGACAGCACCGCGCAGGGTCTTTACCATCTCCCTGGCTCTCCTCAAAAGTCCCAAACCCCCTGCCTGAGGAGTTCTGGCCAAACTCCTCGGGACTCTCCCTGTTCCCCTTTTTCCCCAGTTCGTAAGTCCCCAGTTTCTAAACGTTCAGTTAAATTTAATCTCCCACCCTCTGACTTTTCACAAGATGGCTCCCGTGGAGCCCAAAGTGGCGTGGACCGCACGGCACGTCCCGCCAAAACCCTTTCTTCTCCCCACAATCCCTTTCGCTCCCTAAACAACCCCTTCAATTTTCCAGACTCCTCCCCTTACCCCTCCTCTATCTCTCCTACCGCCCCACCCCCGTCTCCTCCCATTTCTCCTCCCTCCGCGACTCCTCCTCCTCCGGTGTCGATTCCGCCCTCCTACCACGCCCTGGAGGCGGAAACGAAAATACCACCTGTCTCCACCCCCATCCCAGGCCACTCCTCTTCCTCTCCCAGTTCCGGTTCCCACGCTCCCCCTTCCGGTTCCCACACTCAAGCGGGTGCTGGGGAGGGGGGGGCTGGGGGCCGGGACCCGGAGCCAATCCTTGTTATATCGGCGGCTCCGGTCACTTACCATCCGGAGAGGGAGGGAGCGGCCCAAGTCCAATGGGCCCCGTTCCCACACCAGACTATCAAGGAGTTGTGTAAGGCTCAAAAGGAGTCCAATGGGCCCCGTTCCCACACCAGACTATCAAGGAGTTGTGTAAGGCTCAAAAGGATTACTCCCGGGAGAGTGAGTACTTCCGGGGAATCCTGAGGGCCACACTCTCCGATTCGGTGGTCACCCCTGCGGATCTGCGGCGACTTTTTTCATGCCTCCTTAATCCCACTGAGTACATAATGTGGGAGAGTGCATGGAAAAAGGAAATCGTTAAGTTACTACCAGTTTTATGGGAAAATCCACGCACTGCCGCAGATCTGCAGGGGGGAACAATATCTACTGACCACCTGTGTGGGACGGGGAGTTGGGGGGATGGGCATTCCCAGGCGTGGTACGTCCCCGAGGAGGCGTTGAAGGAAAGCGCCAAGGCGGCTGAAAGTGCCTTTTTCAGATTGCGATCCCCTTCCATCCCTCTGATAACCTATTCCAAGATCACTCAGTCCACTAACGAATCATTTGTTGCTTTCATCAAGCGCCTCCGCCAGGCAATTGATTTGCAGGTCCAGAGTGAACCAGCTCGGATGGAGATCCTTACTGAGGTGGTGGCTGCAAATGCCAACTCCGCCTGCAAAGCCGCCATCCTCAGTTTGCCTGGACCCGCCTCCCACCTTACATCAGATGCTGGAGGTTTGCACTCGGAAAGTTTCTATCCCGGCGGAGGAGCTCGACCCCAAACACCGAATA